CAATCAAGAACAGTGAAAATAAGTATATAAGTATATACTTATAAAATAAATATATAAATAGTGAAAATAAGAATAAAATAATGAAACGACACATGACTTTTCGGAAATTTACAATATAGAAATTATTATTTTCAGAAAATTTAGTATATTTTTTTTGTTTTATAACTTCGGCGTAGAAATCGACATCGATTTCACTATTGTTTTTAATTATTTACTTTCTATTCTTTGCTACTTCTTTTGTAACGTATTCTTTAATACAATTCTGTAATGAAATATTTGCGAATTTTAATGTTCAATATGTTCCACGATATATCTATCGGATTTAGGAAAAGAGAATGTACTTGAATTTTCATTACTTTCCGACAATTATACCAATCATTCTAGTATTAATTTACACTTATATAATACTAAAGGTTGTTTTGGTAAAAGTGAAAAGTGTCTAGAATTACAATGTTTCGGGTATTTTGTTTCAAATATTTTTTCAAAATGTCTAAATGCATTATCTTGTCAACCGTTTTCGTAATAATAATACGTACTTTATGTAAAGTTTGTAGACTGAATAATTTTGTGACGTAAACACGTGTACGTAATTTGTACAACTATTTTCTTATATTAATCCGTAAATTATGTACTTTCATACTAAAAGAAAATCCATTTGACGACATGATGTTGAACATGAAATTGATTTTCTATATCTATATTTATTAATATACTAATATCATTTTTAGTTAAAATTTCTATTTTGTCTTATTATTTCATTCGTCTTTATCACATCTTCAACTGTGCGAATAATTTTATGATTCACTGTATGTACTTCTAAGTATAGGTACTTGCATATCGAGGAAAATGAACATTCTTGTAGTCGTAGGAAAAATACCTAATGTTACATGTTTTATTCATTTTGATAATTACTGTTTCAAGTCCCGAATTCTTCTCATTGGCATCCGATTAAATTGCATAATTGTTTTGAAGATATAAAATTTATTTCTATTCTTTTTTCGCTGGTAAATGCGTAAATCGTATATTTTACAACTTTTAATATTTTACAACTGATTAATAAATCAGAAATTTCTGAAATTATGATATGCGGCATTTTTCCTTACAAATACACATTTATCAAGTCTATAAAATCTAATATATTTATAGGCTTAAATATATTTATAGACTTGGATTTATTCTAGAACAGTGGTGAGAAACATGAAGCCCTCGAGATTTCAGATTGCAGCTCACAGACTAAAATTTGAAATTGATTTCATTAAAATGATAAATAAATTGGAATCTATTAAAAAGATATATACATATATAAATGTCAAATCGAAACCTTCAAATATACTTAAATAATTTTTTTCTTGTTCACTAACTTTTTTTACTGATAGATTTTCTTGTTTATGATCCACAGACTACCATTTCGGAGCCTATGTTCTTATGTGAGTTTAGCAATACTGTTCTTAAATATAAATAAAAGAGCTTTCGTAGATATAAAATTATAAAATTTATTTTACAAATTTAGTTTATTATTTTACTATTTCAAATTTATTTCAGGTCGATTAATGCAATTTTAATTGGCACAATATTAAAATGAAAAAACAATGGCTTATACATAATGTAATAAATAAATGAAAAAATACAAATTGTATCCAATTAATGTAATTGATTTATTCCAGCAAAAAGATGTCATTAAAAAATATAAATATTAAAAAATATCGTCAAATTTCCTATTTTCGAAATTAAACTAACATAAATAAAATATATTATTAATATCTATTAACATTCATTGATTTACGATTTAAGATAAATATAACAAAAATGAGAATTTTACTTTACTATTCTTATCCATGTTGTAATACAAATGTATTATCCCATCGAAATAAATATTGTGTTTATATCTTCAAAGGGTGAAAATTACACGATATAAATACGTGTTCCTACTTTTAACTCTTAAAACATCATATATCATTACGTTATCACAAACAACGTAGAAAAAAATACTTATACAATAAAAATTTGAAATACATTTCATTCAAGTTATTTAAATTTCTAGAATTTTATTTAGCATCAAATTCGCGAGTATCATATTATCTTGTCAGAATAAATTATTTCATACCAAAGAGAAAATTTGGTAGGGAAAATACTATTTATAATTACTAATACACCATATACATATAACTATACTATTTCTTACGGAATAAAAATATAATGTACATATGTAACCTCAATGTTTTTTGCTTTTAAATCGTTCGTACACAAAAATGTCATATTCGTGTATATATACATAAGTGGTTATAAACATATAAACCATACACATAGCAGTAGACGCCCAGCATCGTGGTTTTCAGTTTGATTTCACGGGCTGCATTGCAGGTTATTCGCAGTATTCTTTGCAAAAATACTTCGTTGCTACTGAAATCTCATAAATCTGATCAACTATATCTTGTTTTCAGAGATATATTGCAGAAGAAAGTATTTTTTCATTCCTAAATATTCACATTTCGATGAATACGTTTCATCAATTCGACGCAATGTACATTAACGTCGATATAAATTTTTATTCGCAATCATATAGATAGGCTATTTTCGTAAACAGATTTAATGCGTTGTATGAAAACGTTAAGATACATTTCTCGGACAAAAATTTTAATTCGAGTATATTTTCATTAATTTTCGTAGATGTAAACACTACTGAAACCCATAAATTTCATAACAAAAATATTGTTTACCATTTAAAGAGAAGAAAATATTACCTCGTTGCGCCTTTATTTCTACTCGATATTCAAAACAACGCATAGAGACGACAGTTTATTCTTTCGTGTGAGCAAATGGTAGTTGCACGTTTGATAACAAGGCATAATAACATTGGTTTGATATCATATAATGCAATTAAAAGGGTATAAAATATGTCATATGTCGATAATAAAAAGTGAAAATGTGTAAAAAATATATATGTATATCACTCACCCAAAACATAACGTTAAATCCAAAGATCACATACTTGAGACAGCAGCTCACTTCACTGGTATCCCTTCTGTACTTCCGCACAGCAGGCATGGCTAAGACACATTTATCTGTCGCTTTTGCGAACTCCACGCATACGTGCACACACACACACCCGCAAAAATGCAAACCACTATTCACACAACGCGAAGAGCACCGGTGCCCTAAAGGCAGAGCAAATCACAAACGCAGTGACATTGCCGAAAATGAAATTCTCTTCTTTCTTCACTTTTCCTTCCCAATTACCTCACAGAAACACCTAATATGTCGTTTTCTTTTTTCACTTTCTTTCTATTATTTATCGCGTGTTCTTTCTCGGTTTAACTCTTTTTGTTGAGAACTCGGTTGATCAGCTGATCACAATAACGTACCGTTTCGCAATTACAACTACCGCCATTGTCACGTCACGGTACATACTACCCGTGGCTGGATCAACGAGACTGCGAGCAGGTCAGACTTTCCACTCGCCCTCCGATTCTCCCCACCAGCTAAATCTTATTCGCTTGCCCCTCCAACGCCCGATCGTCCACCCTTCAATACCCCCTACTCTATCCCCTCTCGCGCACTACCTTTGCCACTCTCTATTATTTGGTGTTCCCCCTTTTATTTTCCTTGGCTGATCTTCCTCTCGATCACCTAACCCGCTTCGCTCTTCAACGCGATTCCCTTTCTTTTCGTTTCTCACTATCTTCTTCTCTACAATTATTTTCTAAACCTCTTTATTCCCTTATACATAACTCTGAAATATGTTCCGATCTTTTTTTCAATAAACAGTATTTGTATTTAATAATTTCTTCAAAGGTAATTAGTAACGATCATTGGTACAATGATTAATTCGTTAAAAATACATTGTCCAAGCTAAAATAAACACTTTCGTGCGATTATCTTGTCCCAATATATTATTAGAGAATAAAAGGCAGGTTTATTAAACTATGTTTTTCATCCTTCGTTTCTTTCCTACAAATAAGTTCATACGTATAACTAATATTTATATAGCTATAGAGATTTTTTACTTTTTGATTATATCTGATTGGACATTCATTACAACACGGTCATATTTAATTTGGTATATTATACAATTTTGCTTTATTAATAATAGTATTATATGTTAAAATTTTCATTTAATTTGATATATAATATATTAATATTATGCTTAAAGAAATTTCCATATTAATGAAATAAGCTGTTGTAATTTAATATTATTCATGTCTTTCTGTTCCTATACATTTCGTATATTATAATCTTATGCAAAAGCAGTATAGTAATCATTTATAGTTATAAGCACAAAATATCTTCAATTGTACATTTTTTAAAAGTTATTCTTAATATGATTTATTAATAATATGATAATAAAGTTATTATTAATATGATCTTTGGATATGGTTGTTTATCTTTCGTCGGTAATTACAATTATGACTTCTGAGTTATAGTAATTGAACAGTTCTAATCGTATTATGAAAGACAGTTAGCTTTAAAAAATCCAATAACAATATATATTATTTCTTATATAAATTTTTATATTAGTCGTTAAATGTTTGATATGTATAAAATTATGGTGTTAATGGATATAAACATAAAGAAGAAATTAAAAAACTTTTTCGATGTTTATTTAACAATAAATTTATATTCTATATCACATATGCAATTTATACTTGCATGAAGTGTTTAGAGTATTTAAAGTAAAACATGTTTAAAATATTTAAAATAAGTGTTTAAAATACATACACATATGACTTCTAAAGCGTTATCGATCACAATTAATTTCATATTGTATTATTTATTTTTATAATTATACAACTAATGGTAGTTACATTCGGAAAAATGTTATATTGAATAAAATGTATGCAATTTAATAAAATATATGCAAAGTAAATATGTCTATTATATCATAAAAGTTTTCATTCGTAGTAACTTTTTAATTTGTAAAGTTCGAGGTTATAGTGTAACTTTATTTTAGGCATTTGGTATTACTGTTGCCATTTTAACTAATATTATTGTTCGCTATTTGCGTTAAAAGTTGTCGAATTTAAAATATAATTTTTATTGCTATATAGAAAATTAAAAATGGTGAATTTAATACCATATATGCGTTCTGTATGTAAATATTTAAAAATAGTGTAAACATGCCACATAACCTTATTCTTTATTTAAATCAAAAATAAAAAATTATTTTCAGGTATTAATTTATCAAGATTATGTTTTAAAAAGATGTATACACACCAGTACTGTACTTAATAAAACACAAGCTGGTCGTTATAGACCAAAAATAAAATTATCTCAAGCACTGACATATGAAATGGCTAATGGGCCTCATCACATAGCTGACAGAAAATCTTGGAATTCATGGAATACTTGTAAGTATATTTTAAATTAATCTTAATTTTTTCTACTGAATTAAAATTGTTTATAAAAATTAAAATTTCTTTTAGTTGTAATGTTCTTAAATTATATTTTCATTCAAATGCTTACTTTTAATTACATTATTTAAATGTATATTATTAAATATATTATTACTTTTAGCAAATATAAAGGATGGTAACAGACCAGCAGAAACTGCAATAGAAGATATATTTATTCGAAATTTTATAAATGGAACTTGGTATGGATTATTTGCAAGTGAGATAATTATTAAACGTCAACATAATATAATTAGAATAGTCGGTTTAATTTACCGTAAAGTATATCCAAATAAAATATATTTTTTGATTGGTTTTACTGAAGAACTTTTATCGTTTTGGTTACACTGTCCCGTGAAAATTAATATATTCTTGTATTATAATAAAATGTTTTAATATTTTTTGTATGCATTTTTTGTAATAACCTCTAAAAAATAAATTATAAAAGTATTTTCAAAAAATAGTATAACTATACAAAAATTAAACTATGAATGACAGTAACTCTATCATTTTTACTCTGTACAAGTGTCTATATTATAGTTACAGTACTAATGCATTATTGAAATATATATATAATTTTATTTTTTAAATTAACTTTATTATTACGTAAAACCAAGAAATCAGTAACGCATATTTACAAATTATATTAATAAATTTGTTTACATATTTATTGTTACTATTACTATTATTATTATTATTATTATTATTATTATCATTATTGCGTTAATACAATTTTATTTTCTTCCATATGTATTACAAATGTTTTTGATAACTATTCATGTAACACCATATTGATTATGTACCATATTTTATATTCTAACACATATAATATACTTTGAATATTTGCATTTTGCTTTTCAATTTTCATCGCTTCAACACAAAATTAGTTTCTAACACATTTTTCTTCTAACGTAATTATCCATAATAAGTAGCTTATTCTTTGTTACTGTTCGGAATATTTTCATCAGTCTTTTCCTTTTCAATTTTCTATGTCATTATGTCACAGAATTTTTTATATCTCATATTATAAAAAAGACATTGCACTAAATTATGTTTGGATAAATAAGTAAAAGTAATAGAGATATATGTCATGTACATTGTTCCTCTTAATATTATTTATGTTCATAAAAATGCTGAAAAAAGCAATTAGATCAGTATTCTTTTCAAATTTCTCTCTGATTTTCTTGCATTATATTTATTTTTTAATACTTCTTTAACTTAATTTATATGTGAAGAAACTGATCATCGTAATTATCTAATTGAAATTTTTTCAAAATATAACTATATACTAACCACTCTATTTATTTTTTGGCTTTTATTTCTTTAAAATATGTTTCCAAATTATGACATTAAGGTATTTCTGAATGCAATATAATATTTTCTATAATTATATTCATACTATAAACATTTCTACTAGTATCGAAATATTTCCAAGTAATTTATTCTCTCTTTGACAGTATAAATAATAATATTGATTATTTCATGGTCTAAAAGGAAATGGACACATTAGATTACTATTTTAACACTTTACATTATGAAATTATAAAAATCATATTGAATAATGCAAGTTAGCATAAATTTATGAAATTAAGTTATGCATGATTTACTAACATTTTATTTTTTGCATTTTCATTGAAAAATAAATGTTCAACATTCAATTTTTCTTTATTTATACCATTATTATACCATTAATAATATTAAAAATTTAATAATCATTATATCTTATATTAATTTTTCTGAGCCAAAAAGTTCTTAACAATCATTTTGGGAAAGATAAATACAGGAAACATTGATCAAGCAAATGCAAATATGTAAAGAATTATACTACTGACATCCGACAAAGTTCTAAAAATTCTGAAATCAGCAAGAATAGTTATGAATAACAAAATGTAACTTGATATGGACACAAAAGACATTGATATATTACTAAAACTGCTTATTAATAACTGTAGAATATCACAATATGTAATTTTATTGTTAAGCCATAAACATAACCAAAATATGTCTTCAAAATTGTTACTTAGAAAAATTCATTAAACACTGAAAAATAATACTAGAGTTGCTAAATTTAAGTTCTGAAGTAATGATTTATACATCAGTTACATATAAAATAAATTTAATTTAGTTAATGATCTTTTGCAATTATTATTTGCAGTTAATGTTTACAATACTTTTATAATGACTATATATGTATATACGTAATATATATTACTACGAAATAGAATTTGAACAAGATTAAAATTTAAATATTACCTCTACGACAAATAATTTTTATACTATTGATTATCATACATCTCAACACTATGATGTAGTCGAAAATAATTAAAATTCAAAAGTTCATTACACTTGAACAATTGTCTCTTACAGTATAATTTCTATTTAACTATATATTTGTCAGTATTTTGGGTTATATATTAATTTATTGTTTTTAAATTTTAAATAAAAAATTTATTGATAATATAATACCTGATCATTTTGTGAAATATTTGCAATAATGTTAGTAAGCCAACGATTTTATTATTTATAATTAGTAATGAAATTCGTTATAAGGTCAATAAATTATATTTACATGTACACCCATAAGTATTTTATATTTTTGAATTAATATATTTATATTAATTTTTTTTTAATTAATATATTTATATTAATTCAAATGCAGTATGAGAGAGTATATATATGAGTTTTAATTATCAATAAATTAGGTTGAAAGCGATATCAATTTGGGTAAAGATACATATATAGTTTATTAATGTGAAACGAGTACAAACTTTGCAGACATAAACTCAAGAATTAATTTCAATCTAGTGACATTTTTTTTAACCATGACTGTCTTGAGTGATTACACTAAGTGATTATAATCTTTGGTAAGTAGTAAAACATTTAGAATTCATCTAAAGTATGAATAATCTGAATATTGAATCTCTACACAATAATGTTTTGATCTTTTATATTTGTTTTCATCCTTTGTCTTTTTTTTATTTGAAAAATACAAACAAAAATATCTTTTCTTTTGGACAATAAATTTAATTGAATTATTAGCTAAATCTGCAAGTTTCTGCAGGATTTTTACCATCAACAGTTTTACCATTAACACGTTGACTGCCGTGGAGGTTACCGGTGACCGGCACTCGACTTTACTACAGTGTCGTCGGGGCCACTGATGACCGACGACGCGACCATTAGTAAAAATACACAATTAAAGTAAATATCGGTACTGATAAATTTTTAAATAATACCATTGTTATTATAATAGTTCGAAGAAATTAATGCCACTTTTTTAATACAATTCTTTGCTCTCATTCTTCCTAGCTGATTTGAATTATTTTCGTAGTACACTTTGCAAAATCGCCTGACATTTCGCACACTTCCAGGTTTCTTTTTAAATTCGTGACGATGTTTTTTCTGTACATAATTGTTCGATGAAATGCAATCTTCGTGATCAGAACATTTCACTAAATACATCGCTAACTTCATCCTAAAATCGGGAATTGAAATATTTTTTCGAGTTACTTTTTAAACAATTGATAATAGCAAAAATGGTCTACAGCGTCTCAGGGGTCACCGGTGATCCCTACCACGAAAAATACATTAAACGCGATTATACAACTAACCTTATCTGTTGTAAATAATATTTCAACATAAAATGCATCGCATAATAAAATATTCATGTTGGCGTCATGGGCAAACCACGTAAAATGCGCGCGGCAGTCAACGTGTTAAGAAAAGAATCAATAATGATATTGTTTATTCGTAAGTAATTATATATTCAGTTTACTTATTTTTAATTTATTTATGTTGCATCTTTTCTGAATATGTTTTTAATGATTAATTTACATTTTTAATTGTTTCCACCATTATTTTTAATGTAACAATAGAAAAATTATTGCATTTAACAAGAATAAAGATGATAAATAACAATAAATAAAAAGATTGAGAGACGTTTTAACCGTGTTTCTACAAATTATTTAGCTCATTATTGCACTATACGCGAAAGAAATTGTTTCGTCTATATGTGCACAATGTGTATATAGGCACAGTAGTTGTTTTCCTTATTGTTTTGCTCGCTGCTCGGCGGTTTATTTATGTTAGTGGTCTGTCTGTTAATCTTCAAATCTAACACTAATATAACGAAAAATAATACCAATCATTATTAAAAAACGTAGGATAGATATGGCCTAATAATTAAAGCAATGTTTGCAACTTAGAGGATTAGGTTATCTTAATGCGTTGAAAATATATACATACATATTTCATATTTCAGACAGCAACAATGTTTATTCTACTTGTTCCTCGAAGCAATGGTGTATAAACTACTATAATATTGCTAATTTTGATGTTGTACAAATGAATTAAAAATTTGTTTAAAAGTTCAACGCTTAAGCAGAAGAGAAGCTCCGCCTCACTCTCTGTGCCTCATATCTATCAAATTTAATTTAATCCTCGATTAAACTGAATAATTTTTTTCTACAAACTATTCTAGCCCAAAATTAAGTTAGGTTAGATTAAACTTTAGGGTGGGACTGCAGGTAATTCAAAACGTTGAAATTTTAAATAAAGTTTTTATGAACTTTAATACCATAAAAATTACCATAAAAATCTACGCTATTGTTTGCAGCGTAATTGAATTAATGTCAGTGCTAAATATAAACAATTCACCTTTTAGTAGACATTAGACATCGAATTGAGCGACTGCTGTCTTTGCTTCGGACTGTCTCGCAGATACTCACGTATGAGCAGAATTTGACGTAATAGTATCAAAGGAATTTCACTAATACATTTCAGATACTAAGCTAACCGTCTATAATTGGTAGAGAAAAAGGTTGTTCAAAATGTTACCGAAAGATTAAAGTTCTTTTAAATGTTTAAGATGTTAAACAGAACTTAATGGTAATAAATTGATAGTGAGTGATACTTAATGAAATAAGTTAAAAAGAAGATTGTTATAAAGTGCAGATAGTTTTGATTGTCGGCAACTTGAACGGTGTCATTTCGACATCGATCGGAACCGCCGCTTGTTATAATAATTTACGATGTCGCTGTACTGCTTGAACACTGTAACAACTATAATACGGTAGGCCGTACTGCAATTACCGAGTAATAATTCGTTGTTAGTATAGCATAAAGCTTAGAGTACCAAAGTGATTCAGTGACATGCATTCTTACTTGTAATTCATAATTTTAGTTTTATAATCTATTTTATAAATTAATTTATTATTTTTTTGTTTTAAACTATATCTTTTAGTAATTACATTTAGTAAATTATTTTCTAATTTTCAATTTTTTTATTTTAAATTCCTGCAACCAAAATAATATTGATAATTTGAATAATTATCAAAATAATGTTGATAATTATTAAAGATCAATACATAATCAA